CCTTGGCTTTGACCTCAGGCAGACCTGGGATCAGGCTTTTCCATCTGCATCCTGAGTGACTGTGGGTAAGTGCTTTGATCCTGATAAGCCTCAGTGACCCTGTTATGAAGTAGGTGTTACTGTTCATCTCATGTGGATCTTCTGGAGTTTGAGTTATTGCATGTATGCATGTGCTTCAAACACAAGTATAGATTGACTTGTTTTCATGTTTGTGCTCCACATTTAAATACAAATTTTCTGGGGCACCACCTGGGTGGCTCAGTGAGTTAAAGCCTCTGCCTTCGGTTCAGGTCATGATCTCGGGGTCCTGGGATCAAGCCCCACATCGGGCTCTTTGCTCGGCGGGGAGACTGCTTCCTCCCAGCCGCCTCCCGCCTGCCTCGCTGCCTACTTGTGATCTGTCAATTAAATAAATAAAATCTTTAAAAAAAATACAAATTTTCTATCCAATAATCGAATCCAAAATTCTATGTTATCACAAACTTCCAATGATTTGAAACAGTAATAATTAGTGGATATAAGAGTAGGTAACCTTATGTCTACGTTACAGTTAAGGAAAGAGTCCAAGAGATACTGGAAGATGTCATTAGAGTGTCAGTTCAGATTAGTAACAAATCCTGCAAAAAACATTATCTTGTACAAGATAAAATTTCTTTTTCTTTTTTTTTTTTTTTAGAAACAGTAATCCAGAGGTGGGTAGTCTAGAACTCCATAAATATCAGAAACCTAAGTTCTTCTATGTTATTGTTCTGTATCAGAAACCTAGGTTCTTCTATGTTATTGTTATTATGTTAGATTACTTCATAGTCTAAGAGGGTTTGTCAGTCTCAAGTTATTCCAGCCAGCAGAAGGAAGAAGGAATAAATAAGAGACAAACTGTCATTTAAGGAGATTTTCTGAAAGTTGCAACCTCACATTTTGGCTTACAGTCCATTGGCAGAACTTAATCACATAGTCACACCTTGCTGTGAGAGGAACTAATATAACCTTTTTCCTGAAAGGACTATCCTGCACTAAAAATATCATTGTTGTCTTACTAAGAAAGAGGGATAATGACTATTGGTGTATGTACTTAGCAGTCCATGCCATGATAAGTTGAATATTCACTTGGGGCTTACCTGTAAGCTTCTAATTATTTTCTCTTTGACTAGTTCAATACACCTATATACACTGTTCAGAGTTTTCTGGATTAGAAAATCCAGCTTCTTCTATTGACTTTATGATTTCTTGTAGTATCTTTAACAAATATCTTACTTCAGTAAGTATTCTTATTTTCCCACTGTACGTAGGATTCCAGTGCCTATCACATCCGTAAGGACTGCGCGGATCTAGCCCTAGCAATTTCCCCATAAATTGCTCACTTGTTTTGGGGTGGGGTCTTGTTTTAAAAAACATTTTTCTTTTTTTAAAAAATTTATTTGACAGAGAGAGACATAGCAATAGAGGGAAAACAAGCAGGGGCAGAGGGAGAGGGAGAAGCAGGCTTCCTGCCGAGCAGGGAGCCAGATGCAGGGCTTGATCCCAGGACCCTGGGTTCATGACCTGAGCTGAAGGCAGATGCTTAATGACTGAGCCACCCAGGCACCCCCAAAAAACTTTTTCTTTTTGTTACTCCAATGATCTCTCTGCTTATATGCACATGATCACATTATCCCACTGATGACTCTGGATATGGTTGACTCTCGTGTGTTACTTTAATCATTAAGGTTTTAATATATGTTAGAGGAAGTTACCTCTCATTCTTATTAGCCATTATTTTTAGAGTTTTCCTATTTTCTCAACTTTTTTTTTTTTGAAGACTTTAGACTTAGCTGTACTACTTCTTATTATTATACTACTTAATATTTCTCATTGTGACTGTGGTGAAATTTATAAATTAACATCTTGATAATGTTGAGTTTTTTCATTTAAGAACATGGCATTTTTTAAACTTGTTCGGTTTTATTTTGTGTCTCTCATGAGTGTGTCTAAAGATTTTTTCCCATGTTCGTCTAACACATTTAAATTTATTCCTAGGTATTTCAATCCCTTTGTTGACATTTTAAATGGGAACTTTTCCTCCAATATATTTATTCCTTTATGCTCCTAAATGTTTTTATATTAAAACTACTGATTTATATATATTAATTGAGTACATGGCCAATTTATGAAATTCTCTTTCTCTTTGAAGCTACCGTGTTAGTGTACTCTCCCTATTTTCCAGATATTATCATATTGTCTGCAAAAATAATGTCTCTTCCTCACTGACAATTTTATACCTCTAATTTCTTTATCTATGCTAACTTAATTGTATGGTATCTGCGAAGAAAACTTAAATGATTATAATGATAGTGGTTACTTTTTATCCTATAGTTGACTTTAAAGGAAATACTCTTCAGAATTCTCCCATTAAGCATGATGTTGGCATTTGTTCTAGAAAAATATGTCTTATAGTATTCATCCATATGTTAACTTTTTTATAAAGATGAAATATATTTTCTTTATATCCAGAATGCTTGGGTTCTTGATCCAGATTAAAAAATAATTTTTGTCACTTCCCCTTTATATTAATATATTTGGAATGTGGAATAATCAGTGATCAGAAGATCATTGGTTAAATAAAATGACAGAAGTAAAACAGTTATGTCCTGTTGAGGGATATTCAGTGTGGACCATGCCAAAAGTCAGCTTCACTTTTGGCCTGTGGGGAAACAGGGGCTTCTAATGATGCTACAAATTAGACTTTCCAGATGTACTGCTTATTTGTGAGGACATTATTTTTACTATGTGGAGGTGAAACCCAAATAACCGTGATGGAAATAAGAAAGTTGTTTTTGTCTCAGGTCAAATCCAGATGTAGGGACTCAGTTATATTTCATGCTTGCACAGCCTTCCAGGATTCTCACAATCTCCAGCTTTGCATTCTGATACCAACAAGATAGTATCGTTGTCCATAAGCATTGAAATGGAATTGTAGCTATCACATCTACAACCCAAGCCTCAGCATAGAGGAAGGGATGAAATAGTGACCTTTCCCTTTTTTAAAGAGCTACATGGACACCATTTCCATTCATGGCCCAGTGGATGGCACTTACTAATGTGGTTCCTTATGCAAGGGATACCTGAGTTGTAGCCTTAATTCTGGATACCCATGTTCCCAGATAACAGTCCAAGGATGAAAGAAAGCTGGGAATTAACTAGAAGTTTTTGCCAATAAACTGGTTGGGTCTATTGGATACATAAGCTCACTTCAAGCTTCTTCCCTACAATAGAAACTTCTACTAAATGGAACATTCTTTTTTTTTTTTTCCCAATATAGATTGACACATTATTAAAATCCTGGTATATCAACCTTCATATCATTTGTGCAACACATTAAAGCTTTTTTTTTCAATGATAAGTGAGTACCCCAATATCATTGGTGATATATTTTGTAATCACAGCGTAGGTTAGGAAACCCTGGAAGGTTTCTGTTGACAGTAGTCCTATCTATAATAATATAGGCCAACCTAACCTATTTCTTAAAGACTTTATTTATTTATTTGACAGAGAGAAAGAGATGTTGAGAGAGGCAACACAAGCAGGGGTATGGGAAAGGGAGAAGCAGGCTCCCTGCCGAGCAGGGATCCTGACGCAGGGCTCAATCCTGGGACCCTGGGATCATGACCTGACCTGATGCTTAAAAACCGAGCTACCCAGGCACTCCCAGGCTAAACTATTTTTTAGATTCTGACACGGAAGCAGTTACAAAATTCAACTATTTTATATGCTAACTAATATATCAATTTCCTTTACATTACCCCCCAAACACTAGTTCAATAGCTTCTGCATGGGGGAAAACACAGTCCTTTAAGGTAGTCCATTTCTTTATAATGAAATTATAATCACAGAGAATTTCTTTTTTATGTTCTTGAAACTTATACACCCAAAATTAAAACCTGTTAGACTTTGTCTTTTCCTCCTCCAGGATCTAGAGATACCTAATGCAATATGGGGGCTAGAAGTTTTTATATTCACTAAACATACCAAATAAATGTTTTAAATGTTTTTTCTTAGCATTTGGGGAGAGATAACTAATGGGTATCTGAAGGTTTTCTTTTAAGGACCTCTGTTTAAATATGTTCTAGAAGACATACAAGATTCAGCATGTAATTATACTCATGGCTAAGGTTCTTTATGGGGATATAGTAAGAACTCACAGCTGGATGAATGGGGAAAAGACACAGGCCGAGTCTGGAGGAATGCATATGTAGATTTCTACATGCTCTTTCCCTTCCATGAGAAGTCACACAGAGCACAGTTCCCCCCAGTAACAGAAGGACAGCATATATATGTTATGTTTCTGTCCAAGGATGCCCACTAAAGAGGCAGTACCTAAACTGCTTCCTGGGGGCTGGTCATATATGAAAGTTCCAGACTCTGCAAGGAAAGCAGGTATTGAGCATAAACCATATGGTTTGCACAGTCTAGGTACAGTGAATCATTTGTCATTTAACTGTTGACTAGGAACTTTGAGAGCCAAGTAGATAGATGCCAGCCAAGGGCCAAACTTGCAAATCAATTTTTTTTAATGATAACATTTTCAGGCTTGCTATATAAATTCTTTTCAGCAGACATAGGTAACTGCCTATATCTTTAAATTTCTAGATGAATAAGGTCAAGATATATGTGTAGGAGTGTATTCAATTTAATAGGCATAAAAACACAATGTAAACTTCATAGCAGTTTTTTGGAAGTGTTTAGAATATTTATTCATTCAGCAATAAAAGTTTCAAAAGCTTGTTTGGACTATCATGTGAATAACAAACTATATTGATAAATTTATTATCAATAAATCCATTTATTATTTAGCAAGAGAGGCACCCTATTTTCATTGGTAAGGCCTTTCCATCTTCACTCTGTCATCTTCAGGGAAAAGAACAAAAAGTGTTGACATGCTGAGATATAAGCAAATACCATGACTTCTTCCTCCATTTCCCAATAAAAGCCTGGCCACAACCTCAGTCCCCAGCTTTGGTACAATGGCTTTCCTTCTTCCTTGGACCTGTGTGCTAGTTGGTTGCTTTTCTGCTTCTCTAGCAGGAGCATATAATTTCTCAGATCTGTATCCGCCACTGTGGGAGAAGAGTCCTGGTCAGCTCAGTGACTACAGGGTAGAGAATGGAAAGTACCTCATTGATCCCTGGATATACTCTGAGAGACTGGGGATGTACAAAATCCTAGTGAACAAGACAGCGAGTTATTTTGAAAGCATTGTCGCTAGCAATGAACAAAATATTTTTTGGGGTTTACCTCTCCAGCATGGCTGGCAATACAGAACAGGTAAGAATGACTCTTGTTTTCATCCTGATGATCTACTAATATGACCACGTAGTAATTGGGAAGTAAGATTCTGTAAATACCATACCATGTTTTTGAAAATTGATTCTTTTCTTTTTCCTCTTTCCCCTCATAACCATATTTCTTCATTTCTCCTCCATAAAGCCTTCTTTTACATGCTTCTGTCTTGACTAGAATCCACAATGGGGCATAACAGATAGTTGCCAAACACAAAAAGACTTCATATTAAATCTATTGAAATCTATTGAGCATACTTCAAATATTTATTGAACTCATGCTAGGTGCTAGATGCCATTTAAAGCACTTAGATGAACAAAACAGTCAAAAGGGTATACATTAAAAACAGAAGTTGATGTCAAATTAACCTGAATTTTTTTGAAGTCCCAGTTGTGATTACCTATACATGGAGATAGGGCTGATAGGTAAGGAGTGCCATCTTGTTCATAAGGATGTTTCTCTGCAAATGATTGATTCCTCTTGAAAATACATTCTAGTGTTTAGTTAGGAGATACGTTGTGGGCCAAGGATTCATAAATTAGATATTTTTGTTCTTGCCGACAGAAGAAGCTCATGAAGGAGCTTATCCACACTGATAATACCACCAATAAGGATATATGTTCTATTCCAATACAAAAAATATAGAGAGTAGATTATGGTTGATATTAAGTCTGAGCAGTGGTCATATTCAGGAGCTACTGAGGAGGACAAGTCATGCTTCTTTGTTAGGGAATATCCTGAGACCCAAATCTATTCCTATTTATCTGGCATTCATTGGGGTCAAATCAACCCTTGTCCAAGAGAAATCATTAATATAAAGTCTACTATGGGAGGCATGCCAACCTCAGGGGAGATACAGAGTCTGAATGAGCTGGTAGATTAATGCTCTTCTTTCTCTTTCTTTGCATTCACACATCAGGATCAAGTCTGACTAAATTCATCCATTGATGAGCTGATAAGTGTCCAGCATTTGCTAAAAGCAGTGGAGAGATGGGGTGTGAATAAGTACTTTCAGATAGTTTCCCTACCATCAAAGAATTTACAGCACAAGTGAAATAGGAAAGATAGCAGAAATAAAATAGAAAACAATAAACAATAACTTTTGGATAGACATTAAAAGTGCAAAACAAGGGCCAGAGTTGAGTCAGCTGGAGTGATCAGAAAAAAATGAATTTAACCTGAGACTTGAAATGTGGATGAAATTTTACTGGGGAAATAGAAATGAAATCTACTAGGAAATAAAAGAATGAGCCAAAGCAGTGTTTCTCAGTCTTGGCTGCATGTTGAAAATAACTACCTTGTTTAAAAAAAAACAAACAAAAAACCAGTGTTTAAGTCTACCTGAGAAATTTTATTCTAATTTGATAATATTGGAAGTTAAGCCAAAGGACAAGACCTGGAAACAGGATAGCATAGAAACATGTGCTTGACTGTAGGTTGTGTGTGTGTGTGTGTGTGTGTGTTTAAGGAAGGGACAAGAAAAGGAAGGGAGAAGGATTGAGTGCGAGGGACTAGTTGGGGACCAATGAAAGAAGAAGAGAACAAATTAAAGCAAAATAGTTATTGATATTCAAGAATTAATGTTAGTATATAACAAATAATCCCTGCACCTTCTCTTTTCTAGGAAGATTAGCTGATCCCAGAGGAAGGAAAGGCTGTGGCTATGAATCTGGAGATCATTTGTGTATCTCCGTGGACAGCTGGTGGGCTGGTAGGTTCATTTATTCTTATTATTTTTTATTTTTTTTAAAGGATTTTATTTATTTATTCAACAGACAGAGATCACAAGTAGGCAGAGAGGCAGGCGGTGGGTGGGGAAGCAGGCTCCCCACCAAGCAGAGCGCCTGACGTGAGGCTTGATCTCCCGACTCTGGGATCATGACTGGAACTGAAGGCAGAGGCTTTAAACCACTGAGCCACCCAGGTGCCCCTGGTAGGTTCATTTAAATGGCAAAATAGGTAATAGCCATTCCCAAGGAAAGTATTCAACCTAAAATCTTAGAGACAGAGACGAAACAATACTATTCCTTTGTAAGAAGGAATCTATTTCATCATGTACCTTGTGGCCTTTATGCCACATTCTAGAATTTAACAGCCATAATGTCAATAATGATTCCTCAGGACACATACAGCTTTTCACAGGACTGAAACAAGGAACTGCAAAGGACCATGGCCTCTGAAAGCCCAGCACTGGCAGTCAGGTGGGAGGTCCCACGAGAGACGGGGAGTCTCCACAATGAGGAAGGATGAGAAATGAGAGAACAAGCAAATAGGGCTTAGCCTCATTTTGTTCACACCAAATGTGTTTGACTTTAAAACCATAAACGTGTCAGAGTAGTGTGCCACAAATCATTTTGTCAATCTGTAATCAAAGGCTCAGTCACATATTTAATACAAAAATAATCAAAAGGTTATTTTCTAATTCTTTAATTCTATTTTGTTCTTTAGTAATAAAATTAATTTCCACACAATTTCTCGGAGATATTTCCCAATAACTAGAGACAAGAATATATTAAGTTTCACTTTCTTGGATTTACACACATCATATAACACTTTTACATGTTTTTCTAATACTGTGCAGACCAGTTCTTTTCAAAGACCCACAAACAGTCATGGCCACGGATGTAGAACTCAGGCTTCTTTATTCTCCGATTGATTTAGTAGTTTGGAGTAGCAGTCTGCTCCACTGGGGCATAGAATTGCATTCATAAATGCATGTCTTATCATAGACAATGTTCTGCATCACCAGTGAGAATCAGTATAAGCTTTATAGCCATCAAAATTATAATGTCTAAATCTGATGGAATAGGTTATATTTAGAGAGAAATAAAAAAGTTAATTCATTGTCAATTTAAGACAAAGATCTTATCCAAAGATCAACTGTCAACACTTACCCAAAATGTTTGCTTTAAAAACCCAATATAAAACAAGGACTTTGTGATATCATGGTTGTACATTAAACTTGGCTAAGTACAAAGTACAAAATGTTAACACTATAGCCACATTAAAATGTTTTAGAAAAATATTGTTATGACAAAGCTTCAGTTAGAGGTGTATCATTCTATGTGCAAATAGATGATTTTCTTCCTTTTTTACTTAACACTTTGAAAAAATGGATATTAAGTAATATCAAATTAATATGAAATGTCAACATTAATTTTTATTTAAGATATAGACAACGGCTTGAGTCTATGTTTATTTATGATTCTAGGTTTCTTAACAAAAGCTATGTATATGATCCTTAGGGAGATTTTTAAATTTTTTTTTGGTAGTGACTAACTTTTTGGTTTCTGGACTTGTGATTTTTGCTTACTAGTTCACAGACTAATTAAAAATATTCTCTATCACACTTGTTAGTGCTTGTGGTAATAATAAGTATTTTTGCTGTTACAGATATGAATTACTTTCTAAGTGCATTACCTTTCCTTGCTGCGGTTGATTCTGGCATAATGGGGATATCATCAGACCAAGTCATGCTTTTGCCACCACCCAAGGATCAGACAAATTTTTGCCTTAATATTTCTAGTTGTCAATCATCCTTTCCTGAGATAATGAGCAAGTGGAATGTCTTTTACCAGGTTGCTTTCTTAAGTTTTATAATTTATTTTCTTAGGAGGTGATAAGAGAATTTCCTTTTTTGTATAATGTTTTTTGTCTAGGTCTTTGTGTTCATCACATAATATTTTCCTAAGTGCAAAAATGTAAATTGTTATGCAAACTATATTATTACTTTACAGTGGGGGATTATGTGCCATTAATACCCTCTGAACCAATACAGCATTAACACAAAGCCTATCCACTCATTTAAATTAAATTATACATAAATGTGAGAGCACAAAATGTATCTTACTAAATGAAAAGAGTATTCTGGCTAATTGAACCTGCATGGCAACCAAGGGTTAACTCTTGGGAGAAATACAATTATAGAGTTTGTTTTTAGAACAGTCAATTAACTTATTTCAACTGAATTAATAAATGATCATAATAATGAATTAATTAATGATCAAACCTGAAAGTAGCTCGCAAAGTAAAGGAGTGAGGCAAGACAAAGGCAAGATCAGGGTTTGGTAGGAATCCCTGACGGCAAGTGAGGTGATGGACACTGAAAGAGCTCCGTAACCATCCCCCAACCCCTAGAGGGCCCTGTCCAGTCAAGGGGTCTGTACCTAACAGTCCCATAGCTGGGCGGAGAGGGGGTTCCAGCACCTACTTCCAAGCGCCTGCAGGCCTGGATGGCAATAACCCACACACTAAACAATTATGTGACAATCAAAACCAAATATTCAATAAGCAAAATGCAAACATTGGCTAAACATAGAAGTGGGCTAAGGTCCACAATAAAAAGATAGATTTACTAGTTCTGTAGATTATTAATTCACTACTTTCGATATGATTGAATTAAATATCCTAACAAAAATTTCCTCTTTTTCTTAATTTTAAACTTTTGTGGTAATTTCTACTATGGTGGCAGAAAAACAAATGACAAACCAAAACCAAAATCCTCCTGGCCAGTATAAAATACTGACTCTTGTGAAAATTGTTGCAGCTCATTTCTTATAGGTGCATTCAATAGTATTACTTATAATAGATATTTATTATACTCTATTATGGAGTGTTATTCACTAAGAGCCTGCATAGTTCTTAGAAACAAAAATTCTCCTCTCTTATAGAATATTTCTAGCTTATATATGGGATTCAATGAAATGTTAAGGAGAGGAATTGTTATATTTTCTCAAATATGAATAAATGTCTCCTTTGCTATAGCATTTGCAGGATCCTTCTAGTAGCTTTGAAGACCTGTTGAAGTACTTCTGGGCTGCACATGTTTCAACCTTGGAATATGCTAGCAAAATATTTGAAGATAGGTAAGAATGCATCCCAAATCATTTCTATTTAAGATAGTAAATGATTTTGGCTTTACTTACGCCTTTTTATTCCTCTTCTAAAGTGATGGTTAATCTTCCTATTAAATAATATTATTCACTGAGTATTTTAATGACAAAGTATAACTCTTTTAGAATGATTTGATTAAAAAGTGTTTTATGAAGAAAGGGCAAAATTTTGTGGGAAAAAAAAAACCATCTTTTACTAACCAATCGATAGCTAACAAAACAGCTAGCCAACCAACCAACAAATAAAACATACAACCAATTTCTCTATATGAAAAAAAAGAAAAGAAATTTTCTTCATTATTTTAACCATGGGCACATCATATGGTAGGTACATGCTTAAAGAAAAAGATAAACTAGCATCAGGATTAGCACACAGGATAGCTTAGCAGATTATCAAGCCACTCTACATGTTACATCTACATGTTACACTCTATATCTAGAGTGCTTAGTTGTGAATGATAATGTATTTATTAGTCAGGGTTCTCCAAACAAACAGCGCTGATAGGAGATAGTGTTAGATAGATGATAGATAAATAGTTGATAGATTAATAGATTAGCTAGATGATAGATAGATAAATAGGTAGATAGATAGATAGATAGATAGGTGGAACCAGGAGAAGCCTATCTTCCAGTCTGAAGACCATCAGTCAAGAGAATTCTCTCTTACTTTAGGGAAGGTTAGACTTTTGTTCTAATACACCTTCAAAAGATTGGATATGGCCCATCCACATTAGGGAGGGCAATATGTTTCACTCAGTCAACTGATTTTGGAAACTGAGATTTCCCAAAAAACCCTTACAGAAACACCCAAAATAATGTTTAACTAAATATCTGGGCACCCTGAGGCCCAGTCAAGTTGACACATAAAATCAGCTATCATGGACACTGTCTGAGGGTGAAGTCAACCACTTTGAGTGAAGTGTGGGGTAGAAATCTAGGTATGGTAAAAAACAGGAACCAAAAAATTGGGGTCTTTGGTATTGTATAAGTAGACTGGTAAAGCTAGGCAGGATGTGTGCCTCTTAATTTCACTGATTGTCTCTCCCACTGACTCCCACTGACTCCATCAGTTAGGTAAACAAATCACGTAAGTAGCAGATTCAAAGCACGTTTCCTCCTTTACCTCCTTTATTGATATGGCTTCAAAAACCAGATATTAAGTTGGGCAATGGAAGAGTTTTCTCCTGGGGCAGCATCAGTGATAGGATTTGGGGCTGCAGTTGTAACTCAACTGCTTTTTCTATTCTGATGACAGGAAATAGGAATGAGATTATTAGACAATGATTCTGGCCTGGGATTGCCTACCTCAAGATATGACTGATAGCAAGTCATTGCTCTAAATTACTTTTTTCATTTACAGATGTTCCAGGTTCATATACAAAGATAAATCACTAGAGAATCCAACTTTGTCCCTAAGAAATATAAGAGTACTTCAGGTAAATTCAAGGAGATTGAAGAAACTTTTTTCTTATAGGCACATTTCCCGCCTCCCGCCAGCTGTGTAGACGCCCCTTAGTGGGCTTCCTCGGCCC